GCATGCAGGTGGGGAACAGAGATTCAAGCTTGGGTGTCTCATTCTGACACCAGAGGTCTTTCCTGTCAGCCGTGGTTCCTCCTTTCTCAGCAGGGATTGGCTTGTCGGAACAGGTGATCATGAATGAAGAGGGCAGGAAGTGAGAAGACTGGGAGCTGTCCAGGATTTGCAGTGCTGAAAGAAAGAGCACATGGAGCCAAGCACGGACTCCCAGCTGGGGCAGGGCACAATGCCCTCACCACAAAGTCATTTCACTCTCTTTCCTTGGTGACCACTCTCCCCAAGTCCCACTCCCTTGCCACCACCCAGGCTGATGTGCTCTAGACATCTGCTAGATGATAAGAAGGAAGATCTGTCTGTCCCTCGAACCCACCACAACCCCAAGTATCGCCAATACCAAACACTCAGTGTAAGGCATCGGAGGCAGCAAGGCCCCAGACAATGCAGCACATTTAGCCTAGAGTCTAATGGAATGAGTGTTTTCATGATTTGTGATATCGCTCTGGTCTGGTCCTTCTCTGGGCCATTCTCCAAGCTTTACCCAGAGCTCCAATTCTTCAAGTGATGTTGTGACTCTCCTTGTGATTCTGACAGGCCTCCCCATCACCCTCAGGATGAAGTCTTTACTCTTTGGTGTGACATTCAATGTCCTTCCAAACACACCTTCATCTGTCCCCATTCCCTACTGCCCCCACTCTCCAGCCATTCTAAATACCCTACCTATTTAACCCCTCATACCAGGCTGTCAAAGGCAGTTATAGGACTAGTGGCAAGGACAAGCATTTCAAACAAAAGGAACAGTATGTGCTAAGTCCTAGTCCTCTGGCAAGAGTCATCTCAGACATCGCTTCCTGCAGAAAACTCCTCAGGCTGACTGCTTCTCCCTGTAGCCAGTCACTCTCCATTCCTGTAATAGCTCTGTGTACAAAATGCAATTCTGTTCCATCACTCAGACAAGGAAAAAAATTACCCTGCAATGCTTCCCTCTAGGAAGCAAGCTAACACTTTAAGATGTTTTATTCATTTTGTATCACTAGTGCCTACCTGCATGTGAGCAAGTAAAAATAAACAAAAGAGCCAAGCTTTTGCCTAACGACTTGTTCCATAGAGGCTGGTGTGTACAGAAATAATAATAGCTAACTCTTAAGTGTCTGCCACTTGTTAAGTGTTTTATATATATCAGCTCATCAAAGCCATATGGTAATCATCAAAACCACTCTGAGGTAGGCATCGTACTATACCCATTTTACAGATGGGAAAACTAAGGACAGGAGGGTAAGTAACTTCCCTGAAGGCAACAACACAGCGAGGATGCTTATCCAAACAGTACTGGCTTCGGTCCGAGCCCTTGTCCATTTTTCCACATGCCTCTCCAAAGAAAGGGGACTAGAGGTGGGAGAGGCAATGAAATTCTTCCTTAGAGCCAGAAGGCTCTGACTTTGTTCTCTGCATCAGCAGAACCTAAAGCTTCCACTGGGGTTATCTCAGGGAACTTGGGCATCCAACCTCTACCCAAACCCCAAAACAAGGGTGCCAAGCCCTAGCCTTGGAAACAGAAACTGGCAGGACTATACCCTCACAGCTGGGTATGAACCGCCTATGGGCCCTTCCCTTTGTCCCCTCTGCCAGCCCCACCCAGCCCTCCCTCCCCAGCTGCCAAGACCCTGCCTCCCCCTCTGCTGCACCTGGCTATCCCCTGGCAGGCAGCCCCAGACCCCTCACGGAGGATAAGCTTCCCCCAGCTCTGAGCAGCTGCCAGGCCATGCCAGAGCCGGCAAGCGTCTTCTGGGCACCACTCACCGCCCTGCCAGGCCTGGGGTGCCAGCAGTTCTGCGTTCAGTTGATGGCCCTGCACAGCCCCATGGAGCTGCTATTTTTAATTTAATTGGAGAGTTGGAGGAGAGAGATGGTACCCAGGGAGGGAGTTTTAAAAGCTTTCAGGGTGGGGAAGGGGGGAGAGAAAGCAAAGAAAAGTTCATAATTATACACCAGGCAGCCAGATTTGATGCTTGAACAGAAAGGTTAAATGTTACATTCGGAATAAAATGAGAAAAAGAGCTCTGATGACAGTTGCCCAGAGCTAAATAAGGGGAAAAAAATACCCCTTGCCCAGCTCCCTCTGCTCTCTCATACTCATTTCTGTGTTTCCCCTTTTCTGCTGTTTTAAGACGAAGGAGTACAAAAATTAACCGGTTTGGGGCACAAAGATTACTGCTCAGTACGTTAACATCTGATCATCATGCAAAAGCAGCTTTCACTCAAGCCGGGAAGAATCACGTGTCTTCATCTCTCAGGTCAAGAGATCCGACAGGGCCCAGAAAGCTGGGAAGGAAGTCTGGCACTGTAGGTAATAACATGAGCTTATGTGTAGATGAACGAAATCTAAATGCCTCCTCTTTCAAGGGACAGATGTGGTGGTTCAGCTCACCCAATGCTCCTGTACCTCCTGTTTCTTTCAGCTACCTTTAAATAATGAGGTATAAACAGAAGTCTGCTGCGTGAAGCTTTCCTGATATAGAGATAGGCTCAGATAGCATACTCCTTTCACCCTTCTTTTTCCTGTAGGAAATGTAGGTGTGATGCCTGGAGCTGCTGCAGCCTTTTTTTGATCATGAGGCAACACATTCTACATGGAAAGATAGAAAGAGTCCTTGATGATATAGATATACCACTGTTCCACTGGGCTGCCTATTTGTTACCTGAGACAAATAAATCCCAATATGTTTCAGCCCCTTTTAATCTGATTTTCTAGGGACGCCGAAACCATTCCTCACTTTCACAATCCATTATTAGCGTCAGCGCGAGTGTAAACTTGAGCAAGTGCTTAATACAGTAAGTTTCAGTTTTCCTATTTGTAAATGAAGACAAATATCATTCATATCATGGTGTGCATGTAAGAGCTAAATGTGACTACTTTTGTAAAGTACCACGATGCTCAGCAAGGCATAGAGGCTGCTGTTGTCACTAATACTCCCAATTAATGGGAGCGAAATACCAAATTATAAAATGTAAAGTGACATCTCGTATCTCAATAGCACTTTCTAGTTTTCAAAGTGACTTCTCATCCCACGTCTTAGCTCATCCACAACCCCAAATCTCTGAGAGAATGAGGTACCGCTCCCTATTTTACACCTAATAGACTGGGGGAGATTAAGCATCTTGCCCAACTCAGCTAATGACAGGGCCAGCCTGTGCCTCAAGTGTGACTCCAAGTCCCTGGGTCCTCTCCCAGGCAGGTTCTGAGCTGTTCCACTAAAGAGTCATCATTCTAGGCGCCCATTCCTTTCGCTGGTGACCACTGATGCTTCAACGATGGGGATAAAGTGGCCACGAGAATGTAGTTCACGTGTCAAAGAGGAGGTGAGGGGACTCTGGCCTCCAGATTCCTCTTCTTATCCCTGAAACATCGGGGTTCCTTGGGCCTCAGTCCTCCACCAACCACACTCTTTACCCGAGGCCGGAGCCTAACATTGGAACCAAGAGCCCCTTTCAGAAGCAGTCACATAGCACAGTGGGTGGGGCCCAGACTGGATTTAAACCTCGCTTTTGCCACATACTAGAAAAAATATTTGTTAAATAAATAGTACATTATAGCTCTTTTCTCTGTATTAGTCAGAATAAGCAAAACAGCTGGTGTAACAAACAGCCCCCAGATCTCAGTGGCTGAACATAGTAGGTTCTTCCTCATGTCCCAGTGCACTGCAGGTTGGGAAGGGGGCTCTGTCCCACCAGTCATGCAGGCTCCTTCCATCTGCAGCTCTGCTGTCCCCTCCCTATTGGGTCCTCTGCATCCTGCAGGCTGATTGGGCTAGTTTAAGGGCCAGGCACATAGGAACTGGACAGAACTTATGGGTATGATCATGTGGACCCACCTAACTGCCAGGGAGCTGGGAAGTGTAACCTCACTGAGTGCTGAGGAAGGAGGGGGCGCAGCCACTGACAGTCCCGGGGGTCTCTGTCTCAGACCACCCCACTGTAGGCAGGCCTCCCTCCACCCCCCAGATCCTATGACCTTGTTACACTTGATTCATTTCATTCTTCAGCATCTGAAACACATTGACTTGTTTACTGCCTATGTCTCCACAGTAGACTGTAATCTCCTTGAAACCGGAAACCTCGTGTATCTTTTTCACCTCAAAGACCCCAATGCCTAGCATAGTACGGGGCACACAGTTAAGTTCTCAACTCTTTATCAAATAAATATTACACTAATAAAACCTCAGACTTTAACAGAATATTGGGACGTCTGGGATGAATGGAGAGAACGTGGCAGAGGAAGAATCGGGGACCCCAGACCCACATCCATTCTGCTCAGTGGTAACCACTGTCTGTACACCCCCGAATTCCTCAACAGCTGCCCTGTCCCCCGCCCTGCCCCCCCCCACCGGTTCTCACAGACTCACATTCCCTGGATCCCCCCAAGGGACTGCCCACTCCACCCCCATCCATCACAGAAGCCAGAACTAGTTCCAAACAAGTGGTTTATTTGCATTTATAAAACAAAACCCTGGCCACGGGGAAGGGGAAGAGGGGAAAGGGAGCCCCAGGCTCACCGGCAGCTATTCCTCCCTGGCCAGAAGATGTGTGGAAAACCAGAAACTTCAACTCTCCCCAGCCCCACCCTCCCTCTGCCCTATTCAAAAATACTCTCTTACCCCAATTAAAACCTATTCAACCAAACAACTGGACAACCCAAGGGAGATACTAGTGAAAAATAGGTGGCTATTAGGCACAGGGATGGCAGCTGGCTGCTCCCATCCTGACGACAGGCCACCCGTGGAAAATCTGTGCCCTGGAGGGTTTCCAGGGACAACACCCTATCCTCCCATGGGTGAGATTCCACTCTTGAAACAAGATAAAACCCTAGAACCTAAAAAAATCCCTCATTAGCTCAGAATTCAAAAGCCAGCTAACCTGACCCCTGCCCGGACCCTATTCGCTGAAATTAATCGACCCACGCCCATCTGATGGGAACCGGGTCCCCTGAGTGAACCAACAGGTCACTGCCTCATAGCCTCGACATACTCTTCTTTGGTCATCCACTCCGACTTGTAAGTAGACAGATGAGCCACAACAGATGCTCCCAGCCAGACGCTAAAGTTTCTGCCGGAACCCACCCACACGGTGGCCTTGCTGCAGGAGAAGTGATCCGTGGTCAGCTCCTTGTACAGACGTTTGGTGAAGCCTGGGTAGAGGGTGTTCCCCCCACAGGCCATCACGTGGGAGACGAGCAGAGGGTGTAGAGAGGCTTCGCAGGTCTTGACGGAATCCACAATGGCCTGGGGGATGCTGGGCCCTGGAAGGTCGAACACCTGCGGGCTAAAGAACATCTCGGGGGCCAGCCGCTGCATGGGGGCCAGCTCCACGGGGGTGCCATCCGGGAGCTGATAGGTGTTACTCTCATCCGAGCCGCTGGGCAGGCTCTGACGAAAGTCCAGCGCCTCGCCCAGGTTCTGCGGCACATAGCATTTGCTCATCTGAGTGGTGGCAACCGTTTCCAGCTTAAACAGGTTGTGTCCATTGTCATGGTCCTTAAAGAGGCTCTTGAAGAGATAGGTAGAGAGATCCTGACCTGCGAACTCCAGCGTCTTACCGCCGGGCCGTAATGGGCGGCCCAGATAGAAAGGCTGGATGCGGGTCAGGCCGTAGCCAGAATCGACCACCACGCCAGTCAGGAGGCCAGAGGCGTACAGGGACATCTCCAGCTGGTCGGCCAGGAGTAGGGACGGGACATCCAGTAACTCGAACATAATCTGTAAGAAACAGACACTCAGGGTACTCTCCTCGAACAAAAGGCCCTGATCCATTTGCCCAAGACCATGCTAAACTCAGCTGTCAAAACCGAAGTCAGCACAGACTGGTGTTTTCTGAGAGAATGGACAGATGGATGCCCCCAGGACGTTAGGCCCAGGGCCCCTGAAGCTCATCTGCGGGGAATAAGGGAGGGGCTCTAAAGGGTTAGAAAGAATCGGCTTTGCCCTAAAGGAGCTTGTTCGATGATGGCTTTTCAGAAGACCTTTCAGGTGGAGAGGTGGGAAGAGCTATTGGGCTGCAAGAAATGGCTCTCAGAGGCCTGCCTGAGTGAGCCTTGGAGACGGGTTGAAGGCCACAGCACAGGGGGAGAGGTGCAGCCTGAACCATTTCTTTACAAAAAGAAAGATGAGATTAGAAAAGAAACAAGTACAGCATATTCACCATTGCCTCTAAAAAAATGATGGCATAAAAAAAGAGAGAAAATACTCTCACCTCCTGGTAGATGAAGACTCGTTATTTTTTATTTTAACGAAAATTTTTCAAACATCAAGGCAAAACTGGAATCCTGGTATGCAGAGTTTGGCGAAGTCCCCAGGCTGATTTTCTCTCCCTGCCCACCAGTCCCTCGATCTTTCCCGAGCACCTCCATCTCCTCCCTAGTTCCCCAAGTTTCGGACTCTACAGAGGCGGAAAGGCTGCAACAGTCCACCCTCTGCTGCGTCTGGCCACTTAGCCACCTCTTCCGGCCACCACAGGCCCGTCTTCCCCCCTCAGTGGGAGGGAGCTCCCTCTATTCTCCCACCACCATCTTTTTCAAAGAGAAAATTACATGTGACTCCCCCACTTAAAACAGGAGCTTCCTGTTCATTTAGAGCAGGGCTCGGCAAGCATTTTCTGTAAAGGGCTAGACAGCCAGGTTGCCAGGTGTGACAAGTAAAAATATAGGCTGCCCAGTTACCAACACTCATTAAAGTATTCACTTTGACACTGAAAAAAATATATATATATTTTAATAT